CACGTCCATGTGAGCAACCGTCCAGTGTCTGTATTATTCAATCTGCTCTGGGTTCTGTATCATAACCAGTCCAGTTCTTTAGACCAGTTGAAATATCTGTGAAGCACTAGTTCAGCTCATACAGTGCATGTGTCAGTCTACACAAGCAAACAGGTTTACCTGTACAGCACCTGATCGTACACAGAGGTTGTTTAAAATGTGTTACAGGCGAGGTAGAAATCCTCCAGCAGCATAATGACTAAATGCTTTTCCAGTGCGTCCAGTCTGAACTCTGGGCTCCACTAACAGACCAGTTCCTGTAGATCTCTGATATATTTCAGGCCCAGACCGTTCAGAGACATATAGACAATCAGCAGGGGTTTAAATTTAATTCTATATCTGACTGGAAGCCGGTGCAGCGATCTGAGACCCAGAGTGATGAGTTGTCTCCTCGTGCTGTTTGTCAGTGTTCTGAATGAGTCCGATCGGTCTTACTGGTTCTGTGGGTTTATCTGAATCTTACTGCTTCTCAGTTTGTTTTTAAGATGCCAGAGTGAACACGGCCACTGACATGTGGACCCTCATCACCGATGTTGGTGGCCTGGATGTTAGTTGTTAGTGACTGTTGGTGAGCTCTGAGCGACGGCCTCACGTCTCCACATCTGTCAGCCTGCTCTTTATGTAGCTGAAGGAAGTTTTCCTGCATCGAGCTGCTCCGGCGAGGACATCAGATGTATGTCAGAGAGATCCAGACTAAACACTGGAAACAAAAGCAAAGTCAGTTTTTGGCAGATAATCGCTTTTTGGCTTCGGTTGTGAAGGAAACTAATCCAAGTTCAGCTTCAGGCAGACAGATGTCAGGACACTGGGTTTGCTTCCAAATCCAAGTTTTATTGATTTGAACTTGTTGATTTCCCTGAAAAACAAAGACACTGAACTAGTGGGTTCATGTCCTGTCGTCGCTGTGGGTAGGTTTAAGATCACTTCAGTCGACATTATGAATGCAGAACTAAGTAAATTAAAAAAAAACCTGACACCCTCACACTTCTTTATATTTGACCCCCTTAACTTACCTTTCAGAGTAAAATTAAAATCAAGCGTAAGTCACCGTGTTCTGGACAAAATGAGGTCGTCCGAGTTTCTTCCTGTTCCAGCGTGTGCAGGACGGCCGGACCAGCGTTCATCCAACCGCATGCCTGGGCATTCATCTTATTTATGATGAGTTACAGCTATGATCGTATGTAAACGTGAGTCCTGTGACAAAAACAGAACCACTGAACTGGTCCGGAGCTGCCGGAGTGAGGCTGCAGATCTCATTGGTCATTAAG